GTCTAGGTCCATTATAAAGTAACTGTGGCCTTGAGCAAGTTATGTAATCTCCCTAAGCCCTTCTTGTCCTCTCTTAAAAATTAGAATAATAATAGTACTTACCTCCTAGTGTTATCTAACAGATTAAGTGAGTTTATACATATAAAGCATTTTGAATCATGAATGGCACACACCACATAGAATAATTACTATTTTTTCTTATTCAAACAAGTCTCAAAAATGCCTTCTCCTAGGGAATAAGCATAATATAAAGAGTGGTATCCAAAAGATGGTAGTTCTCAACTCAACATCGACCATTTAGCAAGTGAGGGAGCGAGCAGATGCAAGTGTCTTTACAGAAAGTGTGTAGCTGAGAATGTCAGGAAAGTTCCCAGTGGTGATTCAGTCCTGATGTTAGTTCATGAAGTCACCAGAATAAGGAGAACAGACAAAAATACAATGATAAAGCTGGTTAAGTGGCGCTGCTTGGAATAGGGAACAATCAGGATTAATGGCAAAGGCGCAATCAAGAAGGAGGGCACAGCTGGGCTCTCTGTGAATATATTCGCTTGTCCATTAAGAGGCCACCACCACCTTAAGGGGATGTTATGGAATACATCTTTCTTTTTATACCTCTCTTTGAGATTCGATTTTAATGCATGTGGTCTAGCTCTCAAGCCTGCATATTAACAAAGAAAAAAAGGCACAAGGGGAGCATATCAAATACTATCTGTACACCCAAGGCTTTGATAAGACTTTAAGATTGGAAATAATGTAAGTACTATCATTGGCAGGAGGTGGGCAGTTAAAAACAAGCTGACAAGTCTTTGGGAAAGAGAAAAGTCCTTCCCGAACTGATCAGACAGCAGGGTCAGGAACTCCCTACCCAATTTTATCCTACAGCCTGAGAGAACTCAGAGAACCTCTGGTCTCCAGGGCTTTCCCCACACTCAGGGTACTGCTGAAAGAACCATAGACTCACAGGAGGCCCATTCAAAGAGTAAGGAAGTATGAGAGGGGAGGGGGGCGTTACTGTTCTTCATAATATGGCTATGAAAAGGTAGTGAGCGCTGCCATTATAGGGCCAGGTGGGAACAATTCATCTCTTCTTTAAAACCACGGTGCTTAAAAGATCACTTGAGCAGAACACAGTGTTGGACAGGAAAAGAAGATGCCACTTAACTGTTGGAGCTGGGAGCACGACCCAAGAGTCAAAAAAGACAAACTCGACAGGAAATGAGAGAAGTGTCTTTCCCATAGCACTACAGGGGGTAATTTTTAAGGAAAATGAACAGAATGAGGAGGTACAATTAATGTTCACTAAGGATGAAATAACTATAGATTTAAAACTAGGCAGATAATTGAAGTATGCACAAACCATATGAGCCTCCTCGTGCCATAAATGCATTTAATATATATATATATATATATATATATAGTTACTGTAAGGAAGATTTCATTATCCAGGGAATTTTTTAAAAGCAAGGAATTGTGAACACTCAACAAATCTAGCACACCCTCCTCCCTGCCTTTAGACTTGGTTATATTATGACAATGTCCATTGTCCAATACAGGAATTACAATCAGATCAACAGCAATATTCCTTTTTCTCAAAGAACAAAAACAAATCCGTATGACAACATGATCAAGATCGAGTTATCACTTGGAAGGTCACGAATAACTTTTAAACAACCTTCTTTTAAGTTGGAAAGTGTTAAAACATAGAATAATCATGGAACCAGAGTGCCTTCCGTAAGGTATGCCACCAGTCAAGAGCACAAATCGAAAGAGGGAAGTCTTGCCAAAAAGAGGGAACGAGAACCATGCTTCTTGGACCATCTTAATAGTTTTCTTAAGGGAGTCCATTCCCCAAGTATCTTCTTCTTGGAGCTTATGCAAAGCCAATTTTCTGAAACCACCTCCCAATTCCGCCTCCCAATTTTCACCAAGTGCTCACAGAATGAAAATAAAAAAAAAAAAGAGTTGACGCAATCATTTTGGAAACAAATTAATGGTAAAGAAAAGGCTATTGGATCGTTTGATATTCTTTACCATCAAAGTAAATGACACAATTCTATACATCCTGTTGTATACTTAAAGTGGCATACCTTGGTCCAAAGCATTTGGAAAAAAACTATTTACTAGGATAAATGAGAACAACCTTGGACCAGCACCACAGTCTGGTGGGACTCCTCAGCCAGCATGCCCCAAGAGTGCAATTCATCAGCTTTTATTGAATCAGCACCGTCCTGGCCTGGCTGGGAGCACTTAAGCAACATCAAAACACACCCTTTGTTTATAAAACTCCATTGTGTCCACCTGTCCACAACCAGGTGCATTCGGCTTCACAGATTTCACATCCTGCTTACTGCTCATCTCTTGAGGAATCCCCAACAAATGTTAAAGGTAATGGCTTCATGCCCCGGAAAGTAAAACATTACCAGGGAAATATTAATCAGAATTACCACTCCACTCCATGTTCTTGAACATGACTATGATCTGTACAAGGCATTTGTTGTAAATAAGCTGCAGAGTGGATAGTATGTTTTCCAGGAGACCTTTAAAGAACAGCTTGCAGACAAGAGGTGCTAGCCTTAGTTTCACAGCCAACAAAACTCTATCCAAGATGCTTTTGGCATGCCCCACCTCTTGTTTGGATCTGGCTTCAAGACAACTCCGCCAACCAAAATCCAAGGGGTCAATGTATAAAGTCAATCATTGTTAGTAAGTGGGACTCATATATTTAGATCAACATTTACAAAAGAAAAGGCCCACTTTATCCCATAACAGTGTATTAAAAACAACTCAGCCGACTTTTCAAGGAGGCACTCTCCGTAGTAAATTAAATGGCTGAAGCTTATGCTTCTTCCAGCAAGGGAAAGAACTGTGCTTCACCATAATCCAGTGTGTGCAATCACAGAGGTTCATTTTTAAATCTCTGCTGCTTTATAAAAAGCCTGCTCCATTAAAGAAAAAAAAAAAGTTTTCAGGAAATGAAATGCAAATAGTCAGTGAACAGGATCATAAAATGGAAAGCTTCTCTCTACATTTATTTTTTTAAATTATTCTTTCCAGGCAGCACAACTGCTTTTAACACACCGTTAGCTTTCATAAAAATAAAATTATATTGTTCTTTTGTGATACTCCTCAACCGCTACCCCTTCTGTCTCGCGTTACTCAGTATATGTTCAGTGTTGCCAACAGAGCAGAAGGTGAGGTGGTCAGCGCAGTCCCACGCGCCAGTCCAACGGAAGGTAAATCATATAATGCAATCACATATTCTAACCCGAATGGATGGCACCCAGGGAAAGAGAACGGTCAAGATGAGCGGGAAGGAGAAGCTTCAGCATTACTTCAAACGTAAAGCCACAATATTCAAAGCTATGTCTGAAATTGCCCCTGATAATCTTGGACACAAGTCCGCGGAATTTATCATTAAGTTGATGCCCCCAGTCCTCACTCAAGGTGGAGCTTAAACCAGTTGAGAAATTTCACTCTGCTGGAGTCCCGAGAATCCAATGGGGGGTCTACGTTTTCTAAGTCAGGGGGAAAAAAAAAGCAGCGGTTTCCCTGCAGCTCAAAGGGGACCCCGTCCGCTAACTCCTAGCTAGAATGGGCAACCGAGTAGGGAAAAGAGACGTCTGGAGAGCGGCCTCCAGCCAACCGCGTATCTGGGCTCGGCAATGCAGGCGCAGTTAAACGCGGATGGTGCACACAGCCCTCCCTCCCGAGCTCCGGTGCACATGCGGCCTCCACGAAAGACAACCTAGTTTTTCCAAGAACCCCGGGCTAGCGAAGCCCGAGTGGTGACCAGATTAGGGGAGAGCTAAGGGGCTCCAGTTAGGAGGCTGCGCCCCGAAGGAGAAAAGGCACCTTCTCTTTTCAAGTCTGCCCTAAGAGACTCCCAACATGCGGGCCCGCTCCCTGGAAACTCTCGGACACTGTGGGCACCCACCCCTGGACGATCTCGCTCAGGAAGGTAGTGGAGATGACAGGGGAGAGCGAGATTGGAGTGAGGAGGTAGGTACTCCAGTCTGCAGCAATTGGGGTGGGCTTGGAAAATGGAGCCAGCCAAGAGAGTAAAGGGTAGGGGACCCGGTCACAGCAACCTGTAGGATTGCGGGTGACTGCAAACTTGGGGTGGGAGGCAGTGGCCCCTCCGGGGTCCTTCGCCCGAATTCCACCCGGTGGGGCTAGGCGCGCAGAGAGGTGCAGGGCGCAACTTGGAAAACCAACGCGATAGGTGCGGGTCCCGCTAAGTCATGCGGGCGCTCCCTCGCTCCCTCGCTCCCTGCCCCTCCGCAGGTTCTGCCCAGCGCTTACCTCGGGCAGCCGCAGCTCCCGCCGCCCAAAGACAGAGCCCCAGCCAGGGGAGCCACCCGCGCGCCCCTCCAGCGCGTCCTCCCGCGGCGGCCGCTCTCCCCATGCTCCTGGCCCGGCTCACGAGTACGGTTCCTCTTCCAAGCCCCGGGAGCCCGGGAGAGGCACGGACAGGCAGGGGCTGAGATGACGGGGTCGCGGGGATCTTTAGCGAGTGACTGCTCCGCAGACGCTCCCTACTGCAGCCGGGCAAGGCGCTCTGACCTGCCCCAGGCTGGGCTCCCGGAGGAAGCGCGCGCTCCCATCGCGCCCACGGCCGGGCCACCGCTGTCCCCGCGCCACTGCCCGAGCCGCCCGCCGTCCCCGCCGCGCGGCTCACAGCGCTCCGCGGCCGCCGCTGGGGTCTGGACTACCCGGCGGAGGAGGGAGTCCGCATCGCTAATGAGACCCCCGCGGCCGCCCCTTCTCCGCCCCTCCGCACGCCAGCCAATGAGCCGGGCCGGGGCGGGGCGGCGGGAGGGGCGGTGGCCGCGGCCGGCGCGCGGGGCTGGAGGCGCAGGTGAGCCCCGCGGCGGCGGCCCGCGCCCCCAGGTCCCTCCTCTTTCCCCGGGCAAGGAAGCCGTGCGTGAGGGCTGGGGAGGCAATTGCTGGCCTCGGGTCGTAGCAAAAGCCGCGGGCCTTTTGGAGGCCAAGGCACTTACCAAGAGGTGGGCACATCCGAGGCTTAACTCCCTCCTGCTGCCACGAAACCTGTTTCCTTCAACTTTCAGCCTTTTGATTCTGCCTTGTTTTTAAACATCAGGTCAGCCATCACACCTGAAAAATTCACAAGAAAAAAGAAAGACTTAAAGGTCAAGTGGGGTAACAATCAGGCGATTGAATCCATTTTTGTTGCTATGCTAAATATTAAAAAAAAAAAAAAGTGGGGAGATTACAGCCCTGGGTGCTTTAAGGGGTAGGTAATGGATTTTTTTAGTTTCCCCTAGTAATCCCCTTGTCTGTGGTCTGAGGCACCCCCTTCCCCCAACCCCCAATCCCTTAACTTTTCAGAAAGCTCACTCACTTCTGATGGTTCCTGTTTTGTTTGTTTTACTCTGGGCCCTGGGAATTGCCTTTCTTCTAACTATCAGGGTAAAAGAGAGTCATAGTGGGTTTTTGTAACAAGAAGGGAAAGAATTGTCTTAAAACTGTAGTTTGTTTTGAATAGACAGTCAAATCTTTATTTATTTGCTTTTGAAAGTAACTTCTACTTGCCTTATCCCTTCCTTTGCAGGAGTAACTTAAGAAAAAATGCCTTAAGACAGAATGTCAGGCCTCCCCGATGGCACAGTGGGTTGAGCACAGTGCTGTGAAGCTGTCCCCAGCCTCTGCAATGCAGGATCCATTCCAACCAGCCAGGGAGATTCCCACATGGTGTGGCAGACCTCTCCTGACTTGCCCACTGCTCCCCTCACCAGTGTATTATGGTTGTCTGCCTGTTCTGCTCCCTACTCTGTCTCTGGTGAATCCTCTCACCCTCCTGCGCCTCTGACCTGTACCCCAGCTCTTTTATAAAAATAAATAAATCCTAAAAAAACGCAGAGTTTCAAACAAAGAACATCTCTGGAGAATTATCCCTGAGTCTGGGCTCTACATCACTGCACAAAATGAGAGCCCTCCTCCCCACAAATAGCACTGGAACTCAGCTGGTCAGAGTTCCCTTTCCCTGGTTGACCCAAATAGAAAATGAAGTTGCGGTTTGAAAGAAGGATAAGTTTCCCAACATTTTCCCACTGTCCACACTCAATATTGATACAAGTAATTTGAAAAAATCCATTTATCTTGCCAAAGTGCTACCTGCTCCAAAACACCTTTCTCTGGAGAATAAACAGTTTAAAGTGAGGTAATTGTTCTGGATGAGGTAATTGTGCTACTGGCTTTCTGCTGAAGAACAAGGGGATGATAAGTAGAATGATTGATTCCCTGATAAGCACATATGCCATCCCTCTCCTGAGTACCACCAGACATGTGAATGTCAGGGAAAGGAGCCAATTGTTTCCAGGAGGCTTCTTGCAGCTCAATGAAAGGTTTGGGACCTGGTGAAAAAAAGCAAGCTCTAGGGAATGGATGTTTCACAGCAAAGACTGATGTGGGACCAGGTAGGGACTTGCCTGAAAATCTCTTTAGAATCTTGGTAAATGAGGGTTTTGTCCTTTTCCTCTGAGAAGGTGAATTGAGAATTAATCTACCAAATATGCCTTACCTGTCTTCTGGAAAATAGTCATTCATTTTCTGACTTTCTTTATTCTTCAAGACTATGTGGCACTTCTATCACAAATGAGTATTTTCTAAAAAGAAAAGAAAAAGAAATCACTATGTTTCCGAGATAGTATTTAAGGATTACTACTATCCCCAGAGGGAAGCAAAAGAAAAAAACAGTTTCATTTTTGAAAACAATAACTAGGAAATAGATGAGCTAATATTAGGTTAATAACTGAAGTAAAATTGCAATGACAAGAGAGAAAGAGGGAAAGCAAGGACCTGCGGTGCATACTCGACTCCTGGAATGGGGCTTTCATGTCTATTATTTTTATTAGAGCAGAACCTATCCCTGATGCAGCAGGTGAGAAGGGTCAGGTCAAGTGTAGATGTGATTTGCTCATGACAACGTGTGTAAATGACTAAATATCAGTATGAGACACCCATGTGTGCAGTTCTAAACCCAAGATGAAGGTTGAGGTAGTGTCCATTCAATCAGGTTTTCCAGAGATAGAAACATCTCACTTCCTCTTCCATACAATTATTTAACTACTAGATTGGGAGAATTTGGATCCTCAGTATCTCCCCCCCACACACGCACACATATTATCCACCATTTATTAATTATATGCTATTAATAATTATGTTCAACGTATTGATATAACACATATTAACCTAATGCTGCCTATTTTAAAACATACATGAGTTGTATTCCTTTCCATTTAGGGAAACATCTACACACATTAGGAGGAATGAATGGAGTAGCCTGCTGATGATCAGCGTTTCTGGTCAAGGAGCAGGTGTGTAGAAGGAAACTGGCTGGGACGCCACACTGCTGCATCACCTGGGACAAATCAACAACTGCCAGTCTCAATTTTTCCATCTATAAAATGAGAGTGTTTGACTAGCAGATTCTGAGATCAGTCCTATTTAAGATCCATCATTTTCAACTAGTAAGTTATAATTTTGAATATTCAGTACAACCAAATTGGAAATGAAATCAATCATTCTGAAACTGGGACAATTACATAATAAATACATTGTAACTTAGATTATTTTGATTTATAGCATACCTACAAGTATTAGCTATAAGCAGGTAATATTATTTTAATATGTAGAAATTTTCAAGCTTTTTAATTTCTTGTTTTAAGAATTGATTATGTTTATTTTCTAACACTTTATCCATAAAGGTGAAGAGATAGAACAGTTCTACCTTTTTCATTACCTTTTTTTAGTGTTGAGATATAAAGGATACATAACATTATACTAGTTTTAGGTGTACAACATATGACTTGATAAAGGTATATATTATGAAATGATCATTACAATAAGTTAACACCCAATGCACACATAGAATGTTTAAGTTTTTTTTTTTCTTAGCAACTTTTAAATATACAATATTTTAGAGTACAGTCACCATTCTGTGTATCACTTCTCCAGGCTTATTTATTTGTAACTGGACAATTTTATATCTTGATCTCTTTCACCCATTTCTCCCCACCCCTCTCTAGTTCTGTTCTCTGTTATTGGAGATGATTTTTGGTCTTTGTATTGTTACATTAGTTCACTTAGCATGATGCCCTCAAGTTCCATTCCTTTTGTCTCAATGACAGAATTTCCTTCTTTTGTATATTTTTTTAAATAACTCCTAGTCACTTTGTCTTACAAAACAGAAAATATTTGAGTCATGTCAAACCCGAAGCAGGGAAGATAGAGATTGGATATGGTCACCTAAATCCTTCCAAGTATAATGAATATTTTAAAGGGCTTTACCATAATTTGTAAGGTAAGTTTTGTACAAAGTTTCCCCTCCCTTATCCAAGGTTTCTCTTTCCACAATCTCAATTACCCATGAACAACTACGATCTAAAAATACTAAGATATCTTGAGAGACCACATTCACAAAACTTTCATTACATTATATTGTTATCATTGTTCTATTTTATTATTAGTTATAATTTTTTATCTCTCACTGTCTTCTTTATAAATTCTATTTTATAATAGGCATTTATGTATAGGATAAAACACAACATATATAGGGTTTGGTACTGTCCACCGCTTCACACATTCACTGGAAGTCTTAGGATGTCTCCTCCCTGCAGATAAGCTATACTGGCAAAATTGTCTGTGGAAAAAGAAATTAAATATTCAGTCAAACTAAAAGTTAAAGAAGATAAAAATATCATACAGGAGTAAGGAGGAATAATTGTTGTTCTAGGAGATGGAGAAGAAAAAGAGGAGTCAAGAAGTTGGAGGGAATCTATGCTTGCTAAGATGTGGCCTTTCTCCTCGGAACCCCAAATCATCAATGGAAGTGAGTGACTTCTTATGAAAAATGGTGAAGGGATATACTTTGAATCAGATTACTAAAGACAAAACAGAGAGAAGTAAGAGAAAGGACCTTAGACATAGAAACTTTCAGAAAGCATGGAGAAATTTTCTGACTCCCCTAAACCAAGGAGCAGAAAGTGATTCATTTAAAATTTCATCAAAAGCGAGGGATCACAAGCCTTTTGGGAATAGAATACAACTAGAGCTGAAAGGAAGAAGACAAGGTCTTGGGATCACCGAATGAAGACTTAGGGGAAGAAGAGCTGAAAAGAACTCCATAGTACACTCATGCATCCTCTAACACCTAATATTCTTAACTGCATAGGCAATTTTAGCTATATCTTCTGTAAAAATCTTTCTTTCAATTTCTAGGGCCTGTTTTAGATTGCAAATCCTTTCCTAGGCTTGGGACTTAGAGTCAATCGTCCCACACTGGGATGCTAACATTGTAGCTTTCCTCCTCTCTGAACCTGACTACTATTTTTAAAGACCTAATTAATTATTTCTAGCTCTGCCCCTGCAGGATGTTTCTGATAAAATCCACTGTCGCTATTAATCATACTATGACGATAATACATAGAGGAAGGCCAAAAATCAACTGGACAAAAGAGCAACAGCTGGTAACTTCAATTGGTGAGCTTGACAATGCAATTAAATGAGATAGTCTACAAGCAAATTTCCACTGAAATACTCAGTGCCAGTCATTTCTCCAGGAAGGTCTTGTTCAATCAGAAGAGCACATTTTAGAAATGTATGCAACTTACAAAGAACATGCTGAATTTCATTCACCATGGTGTGCTTACAGCCCCTTATGATTCTTGGATCCGCTGGAAGCCAGGGTGGGGGTTGGATGGGGGAGAAGGATTTTAAAAGCCAGTGATGTGATGTGAGTAGTTCACACGCAGTGTTCTGTCTGTGTACAATGATCCTGGTTAACAACCTTCCCTGTTCAAGGCAATATGGGATCGTTTGTTAAGTAAACTCTCTCGCACACAAAATTAAAGAAGTCTATTTTAGATATTGGGCTATGAAGCTGCAATAAAGTGCAAAAGTCCAATACATTTGTTTAAAAAGGGCAGCGGGGCACTGAGATAAAACTCTAAATACACTACTTTTTCCTGACATGGCAAATGTGCCTTCCCCATTTTGTACACTGGGAATTCTCCCTGAAATCAGGCATCTTGGCGTTTCAGCTGCAGATGCTGACACAGATGAATGGAAGAACTTAAAAATGTTAACAACAAACAATTCTTTGGCAATAAAATTAATGTGTTAGTGCTTTCAAAAAATAATAAACCATGATGTGTTAACCCAAAAAGGAGGTAGCCTCTGATGATAGCATAACTGTGCAACCTATGAGTGACCTAACTTTGACATTTAGCATTAGAAACAGTGTGACAATTTGCACACCAGCATTTCCTGGTCTTGGTAGTAGCTTTGTATCTTTCCATATGAGGAGATGGGAGGAAATTAACATGATTCTTACTAATAGAGGATGATCCCAAACATCCCTTTTGTGGGATGTGAATTTATAACAGGTTTTTACTGCACAGGTTAGTTTTGTCTGCTGACTCCTTTCACACCCTGGCATGGGGCATCATTCATTCATTCATTTGTTCCTCTTATCTGTTCTGGTAGGAGGCCCTGTGCTTGTTGGGTAGACAGAGAAGACAAGGGAAAAGATATCTGAAGACAAATGAAGTACATTTATAGTTCAAAGTCATGTGACTACCATTAGTGTCCTCTAAACCGCAGAAATATACCACACAGCACCCTCCAAATAGATTGAGGGCCTGGGGAAACCATTACCCTGGAGATTCTGGTCAGGAATAGAAGCAAGAGTGAAAATGTGATAAGTGACACAAACTCACATTTCAACCTCCCAACCCTTCATTCATGTTATGAGACCTGGAGGTTTTTGATTTCCTGGGATCTGGAACATCTATGAGAACAAGTCAGAAAAGCAGGAAAAGTAGAGTTTGATGCAGAGTTTCCGGTAAACAGTAATGAATAAGCTCAGCAGATATCTTTTTACACTAACACTGCCCTACTTACACCAGAACCTTTGTTCTGAGCAATAGATAGGTAGAGTTAGGACAAGATGTGCACGCAGAAGTTGGAGGCTAGAAGGGAATACATTCCCTGTTTGAAGCACCAGAATTCTGCCCTTCCCCACACCCCACAAATAAAAACAAAACAAAAGAAAGAAGTATTGGCCTCAGGAACAAACTGTGATAAAAAGAAATGTACACATTTAGGGTATGGCTTATCTGAGAACCCTTAAGAGAAACAAGGCATTTGGACAAATGCCATCGACCTATCACTAAGAAATAACTTTTCTGAAAGGTAAAATAAAACCAACTTGGCAATATAATTTATTTCTGTTTTCCTTTTCTTCTCTCATTTTCCTTTTTCCTTCAGCTCCCTTAAATTCTACACTGGAATAGATATTATAAATTAATCCCTGTCACTAAATGAAGCATGACAACTCTAGTAGATGCTTTAAAAGCAGGACTGAATTAACTCTTACATGATTCCAATTGCAGAAGTGAAAAAAGAAAATGTAAACTTAATAAATAGAATCATTGCCAATATTCAAAGAAAGCTTTGATTTTTCTGGTCCAAATCCTACCAACTTCTTCCAGTTCTCCACCTTTATAGCAAAATATATTAAAAAATTAAAAACTATGAATTTATAATTTGTTATATCTTAAGGTTCAGGCAGTAGATTTAAAAGCATTCATTAGTAAATGGCTGTCATGCATTTTGAAGGATAAAAGATCTGCTTTACATGTTAAGTAGTATTTTACTGAAAATAAAATTTAAGAGAGTACCATTTGCAATTTAATTCAACCACATATTCCACTCATCTTGTCAGGTATAAGGATGACTTCATACCAATTCATGGACCAGCTCCTAGAGATGGACAATCTAGTTCTAGGAGAGATCATCGGAAGGCCATGATTATCATTAGTGCTTTTGTAAGAAACTAAGTCAAACAGAAAATACATAAATTATATAAATAAATAAATTATTAAAAATATGTGACGGCACTCCCTGGTGGCATAAGGGGTTAAGCACTGCATTATGAAGCAATCAGCAGCCTCTGTAGCATGAGTTCGATCCCTGGCTGGCCAGGGAGCAACCCACATGGTGCAACAGACCTCTCCTGAATCGCCCACTGCTTGCTCCCCCCAGCAGTGTACTTTATGGTCAGTCTGCCTGTTCTGTTCCCCACTCTGTCTCTGGAGAATCCTCTCACCCCCCGCATCTCTGGCCTCTACCCCAGCTCTTGTATGCATAAATAAATAAATCTTTAAAAAAATATGTGGAATATAAAGCATCTGAACTCAGAATCAGATAAAGAAAAGCTTAAAATCTAATTCTTAAAAGCTGACTACAAAGCTAAAGACCAAGGGGGAGCAGGGATTGAGAAGGGGTAAGAACAAAGAGGGAAGGAAGCACAGTGGGCTGGTGGAGGAATATTGGGAGTCTTTCTTGCCACCCCAAACTGAGGAGTGAGTTGACATCCTGAAACTGCTGTTCCTATAGATGATAACAGCTGTCATTTACTTGACAGAAGTATTACAATATTTGAATACATGAAACTTTGCAGTCATCTCAATAGGTGCTAAAAGATTACTAGTATTTGCATATATTATGACTAAAAATTATTAAACTATAAAGAATAAGACCCTCTTATGATTGGTAATTTTTCCAAACCCAGAACCCGAATTATAAAGCAAAATATTTGTCATTCTTGTTAAAATTATGAATGAGCTAGAATGCTATCACTCTAGTCATTTAACAATTTTCAGGATGATTCATCCATTACAATACATTATCTTAAAATTATACTTATTTAAAAGGAGACTTGTGAAGAAATATTTTATATATGCAGTGTTTTTTACATAGAAAATCTCAGAACTAAACTCTAAAGATGACTAAAGTTGAGAAATTTTTATTTACACATCACATACATCACATGTCTGACAAAGGACTAATGTCCAAGATCTACAAAGATTTTAAACAACTCAAAAAAAAAATAGAATCTGATCAAAAAATGGGCAGAGTTAAATAAACACTTTTCCAAAGAAAACATACAGATGGCCAACAGGTACATGAAAAAATGATTTTCATCACTTATCAGAGAAATGTAAATCAAAAGGACAGTGAGTACGACCGCATTGCTGAGATAATGCAACATACCGAAAGTCCAGAAACAACAACTGTTGGTAAGGGTGTAGAGAAAAGGGAACCTTTGTATATTGCTGGTGAGAACATACACTGGTCTAGCCCACATGGAAAACAGCATGGAGTTTTCTTGAAATTTATTTATAATTGATCTACCATATGACACAGCAAGTCCACTCCTAGGAATCTATCTGAAGAATGCAAAAGTGCTAATTTAAAAGAGGTACATACTCTCCCATGTTTACTGTAGCACTATCTATAATAATCAAGTTATGAAAACAATCAAAATGCCCAAAGGCAGATGAGTAGATTAAGAAGATGTAGTACATATACACAATGGTATACTACTCTGTGATAAAATGAAAATGAACATGGATGGGACTGGAGGGGCTTATATTAAGAGAAATAAGTCACAAGGACAAAGACAAATACCAGATTATTTTGCTCATATGGTATAGAAATGAAACAAACGAATAGAAATATAACCAACAAACCCTTAAAATCTGGCTGTAGAATTGAAGCTTTTGGGAGGAAAGTGGGTAGGGTGCTACAGGCCTACATCTGGGAGCAGTTCCCATGGCCTATGATGGATCAATTTGGGTGTTTCAGTGATGGATATGGTGTTGTAACATACATCTGAAGGGGTAGGAACCTATTCCCTTCAAATTTTATACAATGTTGTAAACCACTATTTTATTTATTAAAATAAATAGTATCAATTTATTTATGTAGAAAAAACATTAAGATATCAATGAATAAATTTTAAAAAATGGAGATTTTTGCTGGTGGTACCAGAAACAAAAATAGGAACCTAAACAATGTTACATATAATATCCCAGTCTTCACTATAGAACATAATTGAGTTCCCTTCGAACTAAGGGGGAAATGCAGAGATTAAAATAAAGACCTGAGAACCTGAATGTTAAGCTTACTCTAAGGCTGTGATTTCTGAAGAGTTGAAAGATCCACAGCTTGGAGCCTTATATTTTAACTATAAATTTGGGGCTATAAGACAAATTCTTGGATCATCAGAAAGGAATGAATAGGACTTGAGATCTTTAGAGTATCTAGATATCCATAAAGAACTTCAAAATACTGAACTGAATTGTAGACTAGAAATATCCACTTGCCAACAAAGAGAGGTCACAAGAAGCCTCATATTTTTGACCTACAATCTAGGTTTTAAAATGTTTCTAAGAATTTTAAATAAGAAGACTTCCTGAAAATAGGTTAGAAGGTCAAAATTGTATGATTTCTGTGGTTACAGAAAATTAAAAGCATGCAATAAACTGGCACTAGATGGGCAGTGTTACAGGCTAGGTAGCATTAAAAAAAAATGATGTTTGCTTTGGAGAATGAACACTTGAACACTGGAATTTTTCTGCATAGAACTCAGACAAATATGAGCTTTTAAGATGGTTGACAGATTCCAGGAAATAAGCCTCAATAAGAGGTCATCAACATAAGCAACAGACTGAAGGACTGCAATACTCAGAAATACGGATATTGCAATTTTTAAATAAAAATTCAATAACCCCTTTATATATACTTAACTGAACATATGGACAAGAAACAAGATGCCATACACAAAGACAAATAAATATGAAAAGAAACTGATGAGATCATACCTACAAGGATGGTCATAGGTTATTCTGTTTCAAGAAGTGTTTCATATCCTTTAAATGCTTTTAAACCAGCACAAAATTAGTAGACAGGAATAGTTCAGTTAGTGTTGATATAGCTGTCCCAAAGCAGCTGAAGACACACTTGCAGGGCAGAATTTCTGAAAATACAATTGAGAAACAAAACAGAATTCAATCAATAGAGATATTGTTTTATCTAACTTGGTAGGCTTGGTGGGCTACAGAATACAGCAAATATTTCAGAGTATTAAAAACTTGATAGAGGAAATACTTCTACCTCTGGAGGCATTGAGTGTCGGTAAATCTTATCTGAAAAAAAAAAAAAACAAACGAATAAAACTGGATAATATGAACCATTGCAAGGCTCTGAAAATGGGGGGAAATGAAACAAATCAAGAAGAAAAAATGAAAAGAGTTTGAGGGTAAGAACAGAGGGAGTATGAACTTCTGGCTTGTGGAAGCTCCTGTCTTTCCTCTGCTTCATAAGTCAGAATGGTAGCTTTATAAACAAATGACTGGCCAAAATTCCTATCAATTTACTGCCATAGAGGCAGACTCAGTTTTTGGCAGGGTGACATCTTATAGCTATGTCAGCTTTAAGTGGCAAATTCCATAGGAAATGAAGGGGAAACCCCTGCAACTGTGCTCAACCAAGATTGAGGTCCCGATTGTGGCAAGTAGACAATCAGGCTGAAATTAATGTGAAATGTTGGGCAGGTGAAAGCCACAGGAGAGCAGAGATAAGTTTTCCATACATACCTGCCTGATTGAAAAGGTATATACAGAAGCAAAGGAGACTTCAGAGAATCCAGAAAAAATATAAGGCACAGAAATATGGGAACTGATTAATTTAAATGTGTTCTCCAACCTACATACAGATATAACTGCCGAGGATGGCAGCCTTATGGGCTTCAGGTGTCTGCATATAAACTCTTTCCAAGTCAATGACTAACCACTAAAGAATCAAGGACAAACTCTAGCTAATGAGTAGGCAGCATATTTCTTTTTTTTTTTTTTTAAAGATTTAATTATTTATTTAGTTATACAAGCACTGGGTACAGTCAGAAGCGCGGGAGGGTGAGAGAATTCACCAGAGCCAGAGCGGGGAGCAGAGCAGGCAGAAGGACCGAAGTACACTGCTGAGGGGAGCAGCGGGCGGCAGGAGAGGTCTGCGCGCCATGTGGGACCCTCCTCCAGTGGCTGGGGAGCAGCTGGGGATCGAACCGCGCTGCAGAGGCCACGGGCAGCTTCGCAACCCAGCGCTCAACCGCTGAGCCACCGGGGAGGCCCCATATATTTCTTAAATAAGAGAAAAGAAGAAAAGAAAATGAACAGCTCCTGGAATATTTCTACAATATATTATTTTAAATTTCTAATTCTTAAGCAAAAATTATGAAACATGCATAAAACAGGAATGTGTGACCTATATTCAGGAAAAAAAGATAAACAATAGAAACTGATCAAGTGAGCATCAGTAAACTCTTAAGGGACTCCAAGTAGCCAAAACAATCTTGACAAAGGAAAGCTCACATTTTCTGACCTCAACACTCACTACAAAGTTATCATTATCAAAACAGTGTGGTATTAGCATATAACAGATTATAGAACAATAAAGTAGAAGGGCCCAGAAACAAACCCTAAACACATACAGTCAAAAGATTTTTCTACAATGATGCTACTTTCATTCAATGAAGAAAGGACAATATTTCCAACAAAGGGTGCTGAGAAAATATATTGTCTATCCACATGCTTTAGAATGAAGCTGAATGCTTTCCTTATACCATATGGAAAAACAAACTCCAAAGATCCAAAACATAAATGTAAGATCTAAAACTATAAAAATCCTAGGAGGAAATATAGTGGCAATGTTTCATGACACTGGATTTGACAATGATTTATACTAAAAGCACAGAAAAAAAAAGAAGAAAAAAAGTAGAAAATTTGGACTTCACTAAATTAAAAATGTTTGTGCATCAAAGGATGTTATGAAAAAATGAAAATCACATGGAATGAAAAAAACTCTTTGCAAATCATATATTTCATAAGAGATTAAAGTCCAGAATAGATAAGTCATTTCTACAACTCAACAATAACAAAACAAACATCAAAAATGGACAAAGTATTTCAATAAACATTTCTCTAAATGAAAACTAAGATGACTGAAAAGTAAATGAAAAATGCTAAATATCACTAATCATTAGGGAAATGCAAATCAAAGTCACAGTGAGATACTTGTTTGCATTCTTCAGTATTTTTATTATAGAAAATAACAATTGTTGGCAAAGATGTGGAGAAATGGCGCGCAGACCTCTCCTGCCACCCGCTGCTCCCCTCAGCAGTGTACCTCGGTCCTTCTGCCTGCTCTGCTCCCCGCTCTGGCTCTGGTGAATTCTCTCACCCTCCCGCGCTTCTTACTTTACCCAGTGCATGTATAAATAAATAAAAATAAATCTTAAAAATAAATTTAAAAAAAAAAGATGTGGAGAAACTGGAACTTTTATTCCTTCCTTTATTCTTATTGTAAAATGGTGCAGCTGCTATGGAAAACACTATGGTGGTTCCTAAAAAATATTAAAAATAGAATTACTATTTGATCCAGTAATTCAACTCCTGGGTATACACACAAAAAATTGAAAGCATTGGGCCTCCCTGGTGGCGCAAGTGGTTGAGCGCCACACTGTGAAGCTGTCCGCAGCCTCTGCAGCGCAGGTTTGATCCCAGAAGGCTGGCAAAAATCCCACATGGTGAAGCAGACCACTCCTGTCTCACCTGCTGCTCCCCTCAGCTGTTTATTTCATCAGTCAGCCTGTTCTGTTCCCCACTCTGTCACTAGTGAATCCTCTCACCCTCCTGCGCATCAGGGCTGTACCCTGGTTCTCGTATAAAAATAAATAAATCTTCAAAAAACAAATTGAAAGCATTGACCTCAAGTGGTTATTTGCACACTCATGATCACATCAACAATATTCACAATAGGTAAATGATAGATGCACTTATATGTCTGTTGGCAGACAAATGAATAAAACATTATGCTATAAACATATAATGGAATGTTATTCAGAATTAAAAGTACTGAAATTCTGACAGATGCCTTTACAAAAAAGAATCTTAAAGACGTGTTGCAAAGTGAAATTGGCAAACACACTGGACAGATATATAATTTTGCTCTGAGAGATACCTACAACTGTCAAATTCATAGAGCCAGAAAAAAAAAAAAGTGGTAGTTATGATGAGCACTATGGAGAGGATAGATTCGGGAGTTGTTCTTTAAATGGTACAGAGTATCAGTTTGAAAAAGTGAAACAATTCTTGAGTTGGATGGTGGTGATGGTTGCACAGCAATATGAATGCCATTAAATCATATATAAAAAGTGGTGGAAGGGTAACATTCATATTTTATGGATTACCACAGAAAAAAAGAATAATTTTGCAAAATCCTGTATTGGGATTTAGCATGTCAACATTGTACGAATGAAAAGGAACTTCCTTAAACTGTTAATAGATAGCTATAGTTATCATTGTAACAGTGCAGATATAATAAACTCTTGCCCCTTAATGTAAAGAACAACAAAAGGATATCTACTTCTACCATTTCTATTTAATATTGCAGTTTAGGTTACAGTCAATAAAATAAGATGTAAAAATGCATAAGGATTGGAAAAGATGGATCATTCAGATGGCCTACTCTTATATGCAAAATCTATGGATTTTACAAAACAATCTATTGGAACTAATAAGTAAGTACAAGGTTACAGGATGTAACACCAACGTACAAAAAGGCAATCGAGTTTTTGTTTTATTTATCAATGAACAATCTAAAAATAAAATTCTCCCCAATTGGGTCTACATAGTCAACATAATCCCTATGAACATTCCACAGGTTTACTTGTAAAAATTAACATGCTAATTCTAATATGCATATGAGAAGGCAAAGAACCTATAAATATCAAGCAATTTTGGAAAAGAACAAATTAGGAGAAATAACACTGCCAGCTTTCAAAAATTAATATAAATTAAGATGGAATGGTATTGGCATAAATGTAGATATATAGACAGAACAAAATAGACACTCCACAAACATACTCACACATTTAGTCAATTAATTTTAACAAAGGTGCCAACAATATTCAATAATAAAAATATAATTTTAAGCAATGTTGCTAAATTAATCGGCATACTAAAGCAAAAACCAAATAAACAACTTGATCTGTCACCTCACACCATACATAAAAATCAACTCAAAATACATTATAGAAATAAATATAATTGCTAAAACTCTAATATCTCTGAAAGAAAACAGAGAATATATTTGTAATCTTGGGTAAATAAGCTATTGCACCAAAGACATCCATAAATGAGAATTACCAAATTTGAACTTCATCAAAATGTAAAACTTTTGATTTTCAGAAGATACCAGTAGAAAATGAAATTAATGAGTTATAGACCAGATTAAGGCATTTGCAAATCATATCATCAATTATAGACATATTGGGGATAACTCAATAATAGTTAAAACTTATAAGACAAAAAAGCACCACAAAAATGCAGAAAAGTTTGAATAGTCACTTAACCAATTAAAAAATTTGATGAAGATAACCTAAAAGAGAACAGATACTATTTATGAAGATCTTGCTATAGTAAGGGTGTTAATCGCCATCATTTGAGTTTGGCAGAGATCCAAAGGCAGGGAAAGAAATAGGAAATTTTACAGTGAAAAAGGGAAAAGGTTTCAGTATGTTTTGAAAAGAGACTATTGGCATAGAGAAATATGAGGTAGGCTAATTGGAAGTGGGGTAAACCTATAAGGTAACATTTTGAGGTCATGGAATTCAGTGTTTAAACAGAATTGTTATGATAGTGACATGACCTCATAAATGTTCTCAAAATCATTGACTTGTAGAATCACTGAATTGAAAAATAAGTGGATATTGCCTTGTACAAATTATAAACTGAAAAGGACTAAGGTAAATCCCTAGAAATTTAAATTTAGTAATTAAAATTTGAAACTCAGTAAGTAGCTTAAATAGTAATAAATGATTTTCTTGACTTTGGAACCCATATCCTGAACCAATAACCTCATTCTAGCTCTCAAATGTGTTTTAATTTTCCACCTTTCTGAATTTTTAACATTTTATTCCTT